CCCCAAAACCCCAAAACCCCAAAACCCCAAAACCCCTTAATACAAATCTAAAACTGAGTGCATCAAATTTATACTAACTTCTCTTTTCAACTTAGTTCAGAGAAGGCAGTCTGTGTTCAAGGTTTCTAGTAGTGGTCTCAAGCACTCTAGTTGCACTTTTTTTGGCAGGTTTAGAGGCCACTTTTTCAGTTTCTATACGGTTTTTGATAGAATTTACCTAATGTTTTTGAACTTCTGCTGGTGAGAATTATCTGTTTTATATTCTGGCGTTTGCCATTTATTTCTTTTATGTTTGACTTGACATCCTTATTTGGCCTGCCATGGTGTCTCTTCAATTTTGAGGGGGTCGATCTATTTGGTCACTGGCATATTCTCCTCTATTGTGTGAAGATTACCCATTGAGCTGTGAATATTCATCATTTCTATTCTGTTGTTATGAATAATACCTTTTCGACCTAACATTAGGTCTTTAGAATGGTTTTGGTCACTTAGAATTATGTTTGAAGAATACATGCTAGGCTTCTTGGTCTTTTTCAGATTAGGATTTGTAGTAATTGATGTTATTTTTATCTGGGTTTTAGAAGAACCTCCCTTAAGGCTTAGAGGTTCATCCTGCTAGATTGATTAAGGTAGGTTACCTTTTTTGAGGATGAAGAATGCATTGATTTGTTACTTTTCTTCTTAAATGGACGGCTCTTTTCGATTTTATGAGAACCATCTGCCTCAGTACATAGATCCTCTAGGAGTTTGTAAGCCTGCAATTTTAGTATTCTAACACTTACTTGGGTTTTAGACTTTTTGTCATCTGTATTAATCAGCTTAAATATTTTATCTATCGCTTGTGAACTCATTTGCCCATTTTTAAGGTTATTTGGAGATCTTGCTGAGAGCCTTAATGGTAGATTCGTAGTCATATTTCTTAGGACTTTTCTTCATATCCTCTAGAATCACCCCATAAACATCAAGAACACTGACAATACGAGAATTATTAAGGGTGTCGAGAGACCCTTTGGAATATTTATCATACTCTTCGTGGCCTAAGATTCGTTTCAAAGTCTTGAAGGCACTAATGACTTCATTTAGTAATGGTTTATCAAGTGTTTTTGAATGGCTTAGTAGGTTCGAGAATCAGAGTTTGAAATCAAGTGCTTCTAAATATTTTGCATCTTTATTCAGAATCTTGTTAAAAATTACTATGGATTCATAAGATAGTGATTCTACTTCGTTTTTGGCCTCTTCATGAGATATGTCAAAGAGATATGATACGAATTCGTTAAGATGCTTTGATAGTAATTCAAAGTTGTCATTGTCAACTACATATTTACGGGAGACTTTGGTTAGAGCTCTGAGTCTATCTTCATATAGGTTTCCAAATTCTAATTGACTGATTAGTGAAAATGGAATCACTCCAAAGCAGTTCTTTTTAAAATCTTTTGAGTGGCGTTTTCTCTTGGCATGAAGAAGATCTGAGATTGAGGGAGATTCTTCTGTAAATTTAGAAGTTATTTCCTGATTTTCAGATGTAAGGCCAATCTTATTTAGTCAAAGATTGAGATTTTAATCCCCCAAATCCAGAAAAATTAAGGGTAGATCTAAACAAGAAATCTGTCTTCCCGATGACATAGAGAAGGTCTTGTCTATTCACAAAGCTGAGTTTGGGAATTATGTCTGCAAATTTCTTGTAGTTATTTAATCAAATGTCTAAGTATTTCTCTTGACATCTCGCTGACTTCTGTATTTTCATCACTCAGACAAAGGATTAAGTTATCAACAATGTTTTTGAACCTTTGCGAAGATGGGTCTACAACTGAGCTATCTTTTTGGATAAGTCTGTTAACTGATTCCATAAATTTAATTCTATCCTCCTGCAGAATTTCAGGTTCATCTATATTATTGGTTAGATTTATTTAGAGCAGGTTGTAAAGGCAGTCACCTTTTGAATCCCCAGGGAGGTAATTTTTGACAATGCTCTCAGACATTAAAGTTTTGGATTAATATTATTCAATTTTATATCCAATCTTGGGGTTTTGGGGTTTTGGGGTTTTGGGGTTTTGGGGTTTTGGGGTTTTGGGGTTTTGGGGTTTTGGGG